CTTCCTTCTTCTCTCTCTCTCTCTCTCTCTTTCCTTCTCTCTCTCTCTCTCTCTCTCTCTCTCTCTCTTCCCCTCTTTCTTTCTCGATGGAAGATGGCATATGCGGAGCACGACACCGTCCTCCACCGTTCTCCACCGGCACAACGTGATGGTGAAGTCATTGACTGTGAAACCGGGATGACGAATATGAACGAGAAGCACGAGAACTTCAGATTCCGTTGATGTCTTCAATTACAATCGGAGATCAAAATATACCTCGTGCCTATGCATGAGTGTAAAATCTAACGCATAAATCGTATAAATTATATTTATTGTGAAAAATAATACGATGATACAGATAACTTAAATTGATGTATCTTATAGAATTTGAACAGCAAAATATATAAAAGTATATATAAATATTATAATGAAAATTCCAAGTATCGGCGCTAATTTTTAATTGATTCAACATTAATTCGATGAGATTAATATTTTATAGTATATTTTTCGCCGAATGTAGTGAAATACTTGGAATTTATAACGAGCACTTAGTTTTAATTAAACTCTAATTAATATAATTGATGATTAATTTATCAAATTATACAAGTAATATTATTTTTTTATTAACATAGATATGATTATTATTATATTTTCTTATCACTTGAAACGAGAAAAAAAAATTTGATTCAAAATTTATTATTATATTGACGCTTCATAAATAAGCGTAAATATTATCGACATAACTGTATATTTTATATGTTATTATTTGCATGGATATAATAAAAACATATCTTAAAATAGACATTTTAAAGATATTTTAAAAATTAGAAAAAAATAAAGAGTAAATTACACAGAGATTATGTAAATTAATTTACACTAGAAATAGATATAAAAGAAACATCTTGTTAAAATATATTTAGAAATATATTTTTATTAATTGATTAGACGAGATATATAAAACGATTGATCGATAATGAAGATTCTTTTATTATCAGAAGATATATTATCGATCGTAAAATTGCATTCAAATGCTTTAATCATATCAGTCACACGCGACAGAGGACGCTATATGTCGCTCACGTTTCTTCTCTATTCAATCTTTTTTTCATGTCGATGTATTCTTTTCGTGAGCGTAAAATGTTCCGGCACAAGTGTAAAACAAAATAAACCGTGTTGTAACCGCAACAAATACGATATGTAGACAATTTTTTTATAATAAATACCATCTCACAAAGCAATAAATTTAAGGGACTGAATATAAAATAAATTCCGGAACATTTATTTACAATAAAAATAGTACCTGTCATACAAAATTCTGACCGACATCTCTCTTACATGTCAAACATTCAACGAACGCGTTTGTGTTTATATACCGAAGGAACGAAACCGGGATGGCGATTGCGTCGAGGGGATTGTTTATACGTTGAAATTGCATAGTGACGTTTTGTTCGGCTGATCGACGCATCATGTCTAACACGATAAGCGGCAAAAACTTGTTACGGCCGAACGGCCTGCAATGCAAGAATCTGCATGAGTATTTAAAATCACGTACTCCCGAGACTCTGAACAAGTTGTATCATAAGCCGCCTATATGCCTGGCCGTGTTCCGCGAGTTGCCAGTCATCGCCAAACATTACGTTATGAGGCTGCTGTTCGTTGAACAGCCAGTGCCGCAAGCGGTTATAGCATCTTGGTGCTCAAAACTCTACTTCGAGGAGCACCAGAAGGTGGTGCAGGTACTGAATGAGTTATTTGTGTGGAAGGAAGCATCTATACCCGGTGGACTACCAGGCTGGATCTTGAACAATACGTTCAAGAAAAATCTGAAGATCGTGCTGCTAGGAGGCGGCAAACCATGGACCATGTCCAATCAGTTGGAGACTGACAGCAAGCCGCGAGATGTAGCCTTCCTGGATTCTTATGCGCTGGAAAGGTGGGAATGCGTCTTGCACTATATGGTTGGATCCCAGCAGCAAGAGGGTAAGATTCTTTCTTGATTTTTTTCTTGAAAATCTATCAGAATTGTATAAAAGGAAGCATATTGTAAAATAACACTGCATAAAATTTCTATGTCCTGCCATATTTATAAGAAGTTATTTAAAATAAATTATTGTCTTTAGGTATGTATATAACAATGTGATTTTTTTGCAAAGAGAACATTCCAATCTTTGACCAGGAGTTTCCTGAAATACATATTTATGGCCACTTCTTCTGTCAACAATTTTGAAATTTTGTGCCGACATGGCACACCATGTATTAATGTGAAAAAAATAAGATGTATATATATATATGCTTTCAATATTTCCTATTCGGGTATAACTTATTTCTGAAGCACATCCTTATTCTGGATTATTTTGTAATTATATTTCATATCAATGAGAAAAGGTTGGAAATCTTTAACATATCTAGTATATTTTATAATATTACAATAGGTATATCTGCTGATGCTGTAAGGATCCTTCTACATGCTGGTTTGATGAAAAGAGACGAAGCTGACGGAAGTCCAGTTATAACACAAGCTGGTTTTCAATTTTTGCTTTTAGATACAGCTTCACAAGTCAGTTTCATTACAAGCTTTATCAGTAATATATTTTTTTGGCATACTAGTAAACATTTTTTAGTTTTATCTATCACAAATATTTTGCTTGTAGGTATGGTATTTTATTCTACAATATCTTGATACAATTGAGGCACGCGGTCTTGATTTAGTAGAGTGCCTTACCTTCCTGTTTCAATTAAATTTTTCCACTCTCGGTAAAGATTACAGTACCGAAGGTATGTCCGAAGGGCTCTTGACATTCTTACAACATTTAAGAGAATTTGGACTTGTATATCAACGAAAGCGCAAAGCAGGAAGGTAAATATAAATAAAATGATACCTGTTATTTGAAAAATCATTCAAACTTATTGATATCCCCATTAATTTATGTTGCAAGGTTTTATCCAACACGATTAGCATTAAATATCGCTACTGGTGAAACTAAACCATTAAGTAGAGATACAGATAAAGAAGGATATATAATTGTGGAAACAAATTATCGTGTTTACGCTTATACAAACTCCAACTTGCAAGTTGCGTTACTTGGACTTTTTTGCGAAATGTTGTACAGGTAAACGTAACATATATACAAAATATACAGACTTAAATATTTATTATTGTTAATTGACTATGTGCAGATTTCCGAATGTAGTTGTATCAATATTAACAAGAGATTCAGTAAGACAAGCATTAAAAAGTGGAATAACGGCTTCTCAAATAGTTGGGTATGTACGATGCTAATGTTTGAAATAGTTATATAAAAAAATGTTTATATATACCAGTTTTATATCAATAGCTATTTGCAACAACATGCACATAGTCAAATGATAGAAGCAGGGCCACCTATATTGCCACCTACTATTGTAGACCAAATTAAGCTGTGGGAAAATGAAAGAAATAGATTTTTATTCAGTGAAGGAGTTTTGTATAGTCAATTTCTTTCGCAAACTGATTTCGAGGTTCTTAGGGATCATGCCGTCTCAACTGGAGTACTAATTTGGCAAAGTGAAAGGTAACTGTGATTAAAATTCAATTGTTTTTTTTTTTAAACATTCATTATAAATTTCGTAACAAATACTGTAATTAGTAACGAAATATATTTCTTATTTTAGAAAAAGAACCATGGTAGTTACTAAAGCCGGCCATGATGATGTAAAAAAGTTTTGGAAACGATATTCAAAAGGCTCAAGTTAATGTTCGGTTATCAAGATTTAGTTATAAGTATTTTATATACGTTGTTTTGTTTTTTAAATAGCGATTAATATTACAAAAAAAATATCGTTCCAAAAAAGTGCCTAGAAAAACTGGAGAATGTAGCATTCTTGACATAGATTGAAGAAATAACTTCTTTTAAATCAATGCCAAAGCTCTCTCAGGTCGGACTAGGTTTTGATGATGCAACAAGTGTGATATTGAATTAATGAAAAAAAGTTTCTAAATATTTAATGTTATCTGTTTTATTCCTACTCCAATTATAAAATTTATACAATGAGGAGAAAATTATTCGACAATTTGATTTATCATATTCAAATCTATCACCATTTCTTACACCAATAAATAAATTTCACATCGGAATAAAATCGTCAACTTAATATCTTAACACCAACTAGCATTTTTAATTGCGATAGATTTTGATCCAGGATTAATGCCATCATAGCACTTCCTACACTCACTTTTTTCGTTCCTCCTTTTTGCAGTGCTTATATCTTATGTTTTAGTTTTAGAGCAGAAAATATACTATGATAGTATAATCCGAATCAAAATCCATTGCATTCAAAAACACTATTAATATACTCGAATCTTGATATAGCGTAAATTAACATTTCTCTTGCAAATATAGCAGCATTACATTTATAATTTGAATCGACAGTTAATATCATATACAGATGACAAAAGACAGCAGATAAAACTATAATTGGTAGTTCATTGTATCCTTAATAAGAAGAATATTGGATTATATTATAATTATTCAATTGTTCATAATCGATCATGCGCTATATCGAGCATTAAATATAGAAATATTAAATAATGCATTATTATCTGAACTATTTCAGAACATATTCTTCTCTCACGTATGGACGTATGGAGACAAATTTTATGCAGAATGATATTCGTTTTAGCAACTCTATGTATCTCCAATAGTGACATATTTGAGAAAAAGAATGGATCTTTAATTGAAGCATTTTACCGCGTCAGCACGAGTCCCAAACGTTTGAAGAATCAAGAGCTTGCTGTCAACGTTGTGGCGCTGCTTTTGGTTTTGGCATTTTAGCTAGTATAGCCGGCATCTCATTTTTCTCGTCATACTTCTTCCACAATTCGTACAGATTGATTATATACCGTGCTATTTCTTGAATCTTTTCCATATCTGCGTTTAATTCTGCAAACCACGATTTGAGATCCTTCTGTAATATCACACAAGCTATTTGCAAACAGCCTGTGAAAAAAAAATAGGAATTCTTTTGATGTTTCCTCATGATACTATCGACAGAATATCGGTCATATAACATGACCGATAAAACAAATGATTATTTGTATCTTACCGATAGCTATTTGATAAGGTGGATATAACAAACACACATCTGTTCTTAGACTATCATTGATAATACGCCACGCAAGCGGAAGTAGCTGATCGTCTGATCCTACATCCTGAATTAATGTTAATAAAGGACGATATGGTTGATATACTATTAAACAACAGTCCAAATGTTCCAAAAGATAAAACTCGCATTCCAAAATATGATTTGTGCGATATGGAAAATCTTGCGAATACGCATATGCAAATTTGTTCTTAACTGGAAGTAAAGGGATCAAATAAATATTTGTTTAAATGTATATTGAACATCGATGTAACAGTGGATAGCAGTATATCATGGAACTTACTTACACTTCCCATTGTCGATATCAGTCTAGTGTTAGAAATTACTCCAAATTCTTCTACTTTCGATGCAAGAAAGACTGTGGTAGGAGCTAATAATAGAGGATCTATACATTTTAAGCTATTGCGTGCATAAAACCTTTTAAAATAAACTGTCGCAGTGGCTATCACTTGTTGTCTCAATTTTAATTGTTCGCCTATCATCTGTATCACTAGTGACAGGAATTATGCATACATGTAATTACAAGTAATTACATCACATAAGAATGTATGTTATAATGAGAATCATGCGGCCAAACATAGATTACTTTAATTATTTTAATTAATTTCACTTTAATTTTACTTTATGTACTGAATCATTTAATATTGCAAAATTGACATAGAAAAAGACCGATTGGAATTTATTGGAATGATATTGGCTTAGTTTATAAGCAGTCAATTGATACACATATGAAATTGCATATTTGTGCTCTAATTAACTTAGTTCATTAAACAAAAAAAGAGAGCAAATGCCATTCTATATGGTTCTGTATGGTGTCTTTGATACATATCATTGCTATTATTGCACTAGCAGTGCTATTATTTTCACCACAAAATCATTTAATACAAATATACTATTTAGTATCAACTAGTGGAAACTGCCACTGCATTTATCGCATATTCTGAGGATGTCTGCTATTAATTTGTTGCCATATTACAGGCAGTTTGTTTGCTAGATATTTTTAATTTTGTATTATAATTCACAAGATTAATAATCTACTAGAAATATCAACAGAGACGTTTTAACAGGTATACTTTGAAGTTTACAAATCCCACAGCCACATATTTCAACTTACTGCTCGAAAAGAAAATAAATATCTTCTGGTATTCCTCTTCCGTTAGTACCGATAGATCATGTTGGCGCTCTCTGATTAAATCCTGTTTATCCAATAACCACTGTTGACTGTGGAAAATAGAAAACCTCGTGAAAATTACATTCATTAGGATCTTGTCGCGATTTGCAAACTTACTGATGCGAGCTCTGCCAAAAATTCCCGGCCATGCTATAATCAAATTATTCGCCTGTAAATTTTAACGTGTCAAAGTGCTAAATTGTCCTGTGCAGATCAGAGGTCTTGAGCGTCTGTTACGTTGGATGCGTGAAATAATTATTTCCTCGCATTTCCCATTTCGAACCTGCTTCGTGATTCTCGTGAATGATCGACGAAAAGCGACGAACCTCGTCTCCCGAATTTCTTCTCTCCACGCTCGAGATCAGGATCCTTGATGTTTTTCGTGACCGGGTATATATCTCGTGTAGAAAATAATTGTTCAAATTCTGAAACATTAATAGCAATGTCAAGGAACAAGTAGAAACGGCTTTCACTCTGTATCGTATGCGTATACAAATATGCGTTACATGCGTGGAAAGATGCGGGATGAATCCTCTAGAAAATCTGTCGATCGGCGAATGATTCGCCAAGTAGTAGTCCTATTTCGTTAATGCGGGTACAGTTGTAAATTTCAATTGTTGTTTAACGTATGGAACAAGAGAAGAGACTAGATTAGTGATAACGGATAGAAATTTCGCTGCAAGCAATTCTGCCGGTTGAATGAATCGGCGATTTAATTACTCGGGATTTGATCAGGATGGAGTTTTTTTTTTTTGATGAGTTTTGGAACGCACTCCCGCTAGTTGTCGACCGTATGACATTTCCTCTTCGTTATCGACAATTTTGTAGTTCGTTTTATCCGCTGTATGCTCACGCCCTCTGTAAAACACATTGTGACTGTAATGGAGAATATGATTCGAATATTGTTTAACGCGAATGATAATTAGTCTTGAGCAAATAAGCGATAAGAGTAATTATGATAATAATAGGAATGATTTCTAATTATTATTTATAATTAACAACTAGTAATTAGTTGAGTCATTGATAAATAGTAAAAAAATATGCTAACAACGCGCTCGACGTTGTATATACAAAGGTTTTTTTGTATAAAAGATTTAATATTGCAAATTGAGATCAATTTATAGTCATCCGTAAAATCGAATATATTATACTTGTGTGTGCGTGCATATGTGTGTGTGTGTGTGTGTGTGTGTGTGTGTGTGTGTGTGTGTGTGTGTGTGTGTGTGTGTGTGTGTGTGTGTGTGTGTGTGTGGTGTGTGTGATATGTGTACACAGGATATTTCAAAAATGGAGATTAATTAATCATTCGAGAGATGATTGGGAATCCAAAAGCAAGAAAAAAAGTTGATATGAATATAAATCTAGAAATGCGTTATTTTCGAATTATCGCTATTTTTATGTTAAAATTTCAAATTGTTTTTCTTTCAAATTTTTTTGTCAAAATTGAAAAAAGAAATTGTCTTTATAAATTTTATAACATAATTAAAATTAAAAGTTACAGGCTGTTTTATACAGAATGCATTGAAGCCCGATGCATATAACTCGTTTAACATTTCTTAACAGAGATCAAGATTCCATAGTTGCATCCCGAGTAATCCTAAAACAGCCCACAACTTTGATTTGATTTAATTACGTTATAAAACTTATAAAAACCATCTCTTTTTTCAATTTTGATCAAAAAATTCGAAAGCAAAGCAATTTTAAATTTCAATGTAAAAATGACGATCATTTGAAAACAACATATTTTTGTGTTCGTATCAATTTTCCTTTTTGTTTTTGGATCGCTATTTACTTTTCGAATGATTGACCTCGACTTTTGAAACATCCTGTATATCATACAATTGTACTCTGCCACGGATCCTAAATTGTGTAAAACGGATTTAACATGAATTAATATATGTATGAAAATTTCTACATCCAGGTTGTATTAATATATATACATACACATATTGTTATTTTATTATAATATACATGACTTTTTGTTACACAATAAATAAATAAAAAATTAAAATATTACTATTTTCAAAAATATGTAGGGACAAATTTTAAATCTGATTTGCAGATTTAAATTTAGCAAATAATATATTAATAAAGTAACAAATTATAAAAATAATGAATTATTGAAATTTATTTTGTACAATATTTTATTTACTTTAAGGTTTGTTTTAATGTTTTATTTATTACAATATTTTATTTAATTTGATAAATTACATTATTGCACATGAGTGTACCTTTCATATTTTTTATAATTAATTAGTGGTTTTAACAGGCGCAACAAGTTAATTTGATCGTAAAACAAATTTATACAATTCAGAACTTACAGTGAAATCCTTGATAAAATAATATAATTATGTGATGATCCAAATATAATGAATATTTATAAAATAAATTATTTCTTTAGAAAAGCAATAAAACTTTTACGATTTATTTATATCGTATTCTATTTAAATTCATTTACGAAATTGGATTACTTTTTTTTTAATGGTAGAAACTTTTGACAGAACATCGCATAAGTAATTTATTAATCTTTAAATCATAAATATTTACTTTTGATATTGTTATCTATTTTACAATTAGCAAAGACAAATTAAAAGTATGCTGTTTCAGCATATTTTATAATTTCTTTTTTATGATTTATGACTTGCAAAACTCAATATTAACCTTTACTTCTTAAAAAACATCTTTCAAAGTCAAAAAATGAATGTTACAAGCGCTGTCTTGAAATAAATTCTACACTGACGGGTCAAAGGTAAAAAAGTCACACTGAATATTTCTTATTTAAAAATTTACATACACTTAAGATTTGTTTTTTTATATTTAAACATTTGTATACTTGTTATACTTAAAATGAAACAGGCATATATTTAAAGTTTGGTGAAAACAGGAACAAAAATTTTAGTGCAATCTAGTGCAGCGATAAAAAAACAGATTTTTGGACTTTGCATTGCGATATCTTTGTTCGTGGGACGCGTGGAAGAAAAACTAAAGACACTTAAAATAAAGCAGACATATATGTAAAGCTTTGGTGAAACAAGAAAGAAAGTTTTAGTGCAATCTAGTGCAGCGATAAAAAAACAGACTTTTGAACTTTGCATTGCGATATCTCTGCTCGTAGGAGAATGTGGGAGAAAAAAATTAAACATTTTTATAACTTAAGTCCTAACTGTTGATCTAGTTAGAATTTTATTGGTTTAGTATTGCTGAGACATCAAAATATGAGTTTATCTCAACAACTCGTGTATGTAAAGTCACGAATGACTCGCCACCATTTTACGAATTTTTTGCATGTGAACTTGACGCGAAATATTACCTCTCTGAGTACTACTCGTGAATAATATCCAGATATGTGTATACTTTTGACTAAATATATACGGTTTGATGTAAAAAGAATACATTACATTATTTTACTTCTTTCAGTATTTTTTAATAATTAGGTATTCTATTTCCCGGTCATCCAGAATTAATAAAGATAATATTAATTTTAAAAATCGATAAATCTTATAGCAATAAATTAAAGCAATCTGGAATCTTGGCGTTCAGAATCGCCATTCAAAACATTCTTATATCTCGTATCTTATTTCTTATATCTTGTAATAATTTACAAAGAAAAGATCTCGAACGATTCTGTGTAATACTATGCCTTATGATAACCACGCTCTTTTCCTCTTGGAAATTTTACACGTTATCACGTTATATCCTTCTTTTCTTTTCTTTTCTTTTTCAAAGAAAAAAGATGTCTGGATTATCTTGTTTTTCGGACATTTGTTTGCCTTTATTTATCTTTATTTCTTTATCCTTTCGGATTTATCTTTAATGAAATTCTTGTTTTGTTCGGCTACGGATACGGACACAATTCGTTACTAGATCGCGGCAAACGCGATACATGGAATCCGAACGATAATAACATTCGAGATGAAACGCCGAAGAATTATAAAAATAAATTATTTATCGGCTGGACTCTTTTTACAACGGCACATGTATGTCCCCTCGTGTTACGTGAATCTTCTTTCGTGAACGCTGCGGTTTATTTGGCTTATATCGCGCGGCTTCTCGTGTCATTCGACTTTCCTGTTACGCTTATCTTGCAGTTATCGGCATGACACTCATATTAGAAATCATACGGTATCGCGCGGAAAGAAAGAAAAAAAAGTAAAAGAAGGGGAAGCGAGACGGAATACTTGATACGATCGCGAGTCAACCCGGGGGAGGGGGGGGGGGGAAAGGACACGTGGACGTGTGTCACCGCGGCGATTGACGTTACGCGAAGTATAATTTTTTGTAACGTCTTCTTTTTTTTCGATCTGGAGGACAATGAGGAGTAAGAAATACGAGGAGCGTGGGAGAGACGCGTGGCGGACGACCGGATGATTCTGACAACCCGCGATTGTCGCGGACGACGTTAGCGTGTGATGTCGTAACGCGTTATTAGCGCGATATACTATTCGGGCATAGAGAGCCCCATTTGGAAAACTCGATCCTGGGGGAGAACTGAACAAAAGGCCGGCCAAGTTGGAAAAATGCAGTCGGCTGTGAAACGCTATTACAATATTAATAAGATTTTCATGTCGAAACTCGGCGGTTGGCCGACGCAAAGTAGATTTATGAAGATACTTTTGCCGACTATAATAACGTCTTTTATTTTCAGCATCGGCTTTCTCGAGGTAAATTCCCACCGTTTTTTTTTTGGTGTGTTCGTGCGAAAACTGTCAGGCAAATAAAATTGCAAGGGAGAAGAGAGAGAGAGAGAGAGAGAGAGAGAGAGAGAGAGAGAAGTATT